AGAGAGACAGAGAGACAGAGATCCAGAAACCAAGCCAGGGCTCTCCGGGACCGCGAAGCTCACCACTGAATCGAGAGCACCGAGATTTTAAATAAAAAAAAATTAAAAAAAACCCAGCCCTGGGACACTTAGGCTGCCAGCTTGCATTCGAAGGCATATAGAGCTGTGGTCGTGAGAGCTCCCTGTCATTGGCATCGCAGCGCTAGGTGCGCGCTCGGCTCTCCCATTGGTATGCAGCGACCATTTCCCTGCAAGCCTCAAAGGTGGAACCACTTAGAAGGATTACAAGCGTGATTTGATGGCCTTTCCAAAAGTTGGTGGCCGGAGGAGGAACAACTGCAAGGCTACGGCATGATGGATATAATTCAGCCTTCCAGCGAGTTTGCAGCCCCCGCAGGGAAGCTCCTAGGAGCAAACCTCGGAGATCGTGAGCGCTCTGCAAGGATAGGTACTCGCCGCTGCCATCCTTTCCTACTTTGCCTAATTAAAACCAGTATTTCTTGCATGTAGGGTGTGCATTGTAAAGCACACAGAGTTCGGCTGCGGTGGCTACTGCACGCTCACAGGTGCTCGGGGTTAGTTGCATTTTTGAACTGGGTCATTTAGCTGTAAAGATGATGGTAGGAGGAGTGGTACTGAAGATGAACATAACCTCGGACCCTCTTTCTGGGGGAGAAAATCGTAAGTAATTCCAACAAATAGGCCAGGTGGCAGAGCAAAGGGCCCCTCCCCCAGTGGATCGCTCGCTCGTGTTGTAAAAGATAGAAGGAAAACGGCACGAGCTTTTTAATCATTTCCCATTGTGCGTTTCGCCTGGAGACAGCAGATTGGAAAAGGATCTGTCGAAGGCTCAGGGCTCTTCAGAAAATGAATGATGCAGCATTTTAATTATTTGTTCTAGGGGAGATTGTTTTGCTTCCATATTGGAACGTTTAATCTTAGATATGTGGAGATTAGTGGACTCAGAGATCCGGCAAAGGGGAGGAGGAGGTGGGAAGCGGGCACACTGGGGAGAAAGGGCTTCTTGTCCTCCCGGTGGACAAATGATGCTGGGCGCTCCCAGCAGGAAGCGGACGAACCCTGGGCTCCAGGGCCCTTCAAACCAACTTTTGGAGCTCTTCCTATCGCTTAGACACGCTATACTGAGATAAGGGAAAGGACATGTGTGAAATAGCCTTTAGGACATAGCCCAAATCGAGAATTTAGGGATTTGCAGTTCAAGAGAGAACAGAGAATGATTGCAGAGAGGGCCATTTACCGTCACTGGTAAGCTTAGGGAAGCCTCCCGGTTACCCATCGATTCCATCGCATCATGGGTTGCTATAAGATCCAGGAAACAGTCGCCGCCTCTGCATGTTGGGTACAGAAGGTGGTGTGTGTGTGTGTGCGTGGGGGGGGGGCGGGGAGGTGGCGCGGAGGAGGGGAGGTTGGCAGCTGGTGATGGGGAGATGGGATTGCTCTGGTTCTGAGCTTAGGCTGTTGGTCTGCTTCTAGGTGGAGATCTATCTGAGAAAATAGGGTGGGTCTGGAATATTAAGGGTGTAGTATGTTAGAGAATCCTGCCCGCCTGCTTACTTTGTCTCTGATCACTGTTTCCAGTCTTAGCTACTGTGGAGCAGCCAACACTTGTGCAGTCATTTTAAATGCAAAATATCATGGGAGTCTCCTATGACTGACATTAAAGGAACGTTTTGTTGACTTCGGCGATTTATATATGTATTTTTAGAATGGTATAAAGAATTGACACATAAAACTGCTTTTCTTTGAAATTTGGTTTTGTAAAAAGTGCTTTAATGGCAAGCCATCTCTACTGGCTAACTTTGAGCCCTTGGACAATTGAGGTTCAGTCCAATTTTTTTAGCAACCAGTTAAGTCCCACCCTTCCCCATGAGTTGGTGACAGGATTGGTGTGTGTGTGTGTGTGTGTGTGTGTGTGTGTGTGTATTGACAATGCACACTTCTCACTAACAGGACTCCTTCACTGTTCACTTGACCCTATCCAGTTTCTCCACTAAGATGCATTTTTTCCCCCTGCAAGTAGGACTGTAGAACCCTCAGCTGAGCCTTAAAAAATTCCTCTTGTAGGGCTCTGTGAACTAGGATCGGGTGACCTCTATACTGCAACATCTTCCCTCAATCACCCTCACCTCACAACTCCCTACCATCCCCTTCCCCAAAATATCAAGGAAAAATAGTTGGACACACATACAAAAAATCCCAGCTGCGCCCTCCACCCCGCCAGGTCTTTCCCAGTGGGAGAAAGTGAAATGTGTCATCATTACCCAAGTGTTCTGCATCTCCTTCCAGGGTTATTGGCTTGTCTCTGTTTTTAAAAAGGTGGAAGCAAACACAGGACTGTTGAATCCAAGGAAAACCAAAAAGGGTTTGAGCTGCAGCACAAACAAAAGGATTCCTGGTGCAAAGAGATCGAAGCAAAATGCAAGAGGAACTCTATCCAAGTCTCTGGGCTGCCTGAGCTTATTCGGGACACCCAAGCAGAATTAGCTAGACTCAGCTCTTCTGTTTTGGGGACCTGATTTTTCCTTTATCCCCATCTTTGGAGAGAAGTGTCTGTGCTATGAAAAGGATAATTCTGAAAGATAGGCATACTTTTGAACACGTCTTCACTAGAAAATGCAGCTTTGGGAACTAGAGGAGCAAATCAGTCAGGCGATAGTTTCCTTGAGAGTTAAGAAAAGAAAAAGAAATGCTTATATCCTCCCCACTACCATCTCCACCTTCCCCACCAAAGAAACATTCTCCGTCAGTCAGTCAGTCGCTCTCTCCCCACCCCATATCTCTCTCTCTCTCTCTCTCTCTCTCTCTCTCTCTCTCTCTCTCTCTCTCTCTCATCTGTCTCTCCCTTCTCCTCCCCTCTTCTCAGGGCTTCCTGGTGCTCGCGCCCCAACCCATGCTAAGCGCGTTCCCCTTCTTGAAGCTCATTTCTGTGACGTGGAAATCTGGTTCCACGGTTACAGAACATATTAAAATAAAAAGGCAACGCGAGCGAAGTCCAAGATTCCGCACTGTGATTGAGCCTGCCTTTCTCCCTGCCTTCCTCCCGCCCGTCCTCGCAGTGCCCAATGATGTGCTGCTGGTACCCAGAGAGAGAAGCGGCGGCGGAGGCGGCGGCGGCGGCGGCGGCGGCGGCGGCAGCAGCAGAGACGCCTGAGCTGGAAGCCTGCTGCAGCCCCTTCTCCTCCCTCCTCTATTGAGTGTGCCAAGCGGCAGTTCTGCATCCAAAAGAAGCCCATTGAAAGGCTCATTGCATTCCCAGCACGTCTCAAGCTTGCTGCCCCCACCCCCGTTATCCCCTTTTGCTTCAGCTTCAGCAAAAGGAAGGGAGGGAGGGGAACAGAATCCTTAAACTCAAACCTTTTTTTCCCCCCAATGTTCAATGCTAAAAAAAAAACCTCCTGCAAAATAGGTAAGTCAAAGACATCTGGAGCCTTTCTTGCCTAAATGTCAGGGACCTCAAAAACAAGAAAAAAACATTTAAATAAAATAATGGTGAAGAAGAAAGAACTTGAATAGATTTTAATATTTTATAAGGGAGACTGATACTGCGACGTAGTCTCATATTCTCTCTCTCTCTCTCTCTCTCTCTCTCTCTCTCTCTCTCTCTCTCTCTCTCTCT